ATTATTATTATTATTATTATTATTATTATTATTATTATTATTATTATATGAAAGGTCATGGATAACAGAATATTTATAAGTGATCATATTGTGGTGCTGAATGGATGATAGGAAGACATTTAATTGATGCTGTGAGATGCTTTGATCTGATTCTAACAATAATGACCAACAATATTATGACATGTCGGTTCTTATTCCTTCATTGATCCATAACTTTTGTGTTACTTCACATGCTAACATTGTCACAGGTCTCCCGCGTCCATCATGAACTCCAAACTCCTGTTCATCATTCTGCTGTGCGTCACGGCCGCGATGTTGTTTTTCGGCACACATTCTGACATGATTTTGGATTATCTGCAGCCCGAAGATGCGCGCTTGTGTGCTTGTGAGAAATGTCTGGCGGAAGATCCGCAAATGCCCCAAGATCGATTCAAAAGGTCCATTCAGCCGTTTTTATCCATAAGGCAAAATCTGTCTGAGGAGGATTTCAGCTGGTGGAAGGTGTGGTTGTTTAAAAAAAAAAAAATTACACAAATGTTACATGTACAACTAAATAGACAACAATCTCTAACCATTTTTGTGTTCCTATCAGCACCTACAGAATGAGAAGCGGGGCCTCAGTGCCTATAAAGCAACTGTGAAAAAGCTGTTTGAAATCCTCCCATCCAGTCCGGATCCCACAGAGCCCAGCAGCCCTGACCGCTGCCGGACCTGCGCTGTGGTGGGGAACTCTGTCAATCTGAGGGGATCTTACTATGGGCCGCTGATAGACTTTAAAGATGTCGTCATAAGGTAAGAGGTGACAAGAAAAAAATAATAATGCACAGAATAAAAGCGAGAAACATCGGTTTGAAATATCCCCCCTGTGCCTTTACTAAGAATGAACGGTGCTCAGATCAAAGGCTACGAGGCAGACGTCGGGAGCAGAACCACCCACCGCGTCCTGTACCCGGAGAGCGCGGTGCCTCTGGACAACAGCACGCGCATGGTGCTGTTTCCATTCAAACTGGTAGATATTGAGTGGCTAATCAATGGCTTCACGAGGATTCCTGGCGCGTGAGTAGTTTTTATTCTTACATGACACATTTCAGTTGACTTTTTGTGCGTCCCGGTTCGTTGCGGCACTCTGAAAGCGGCACGCGTCAGAGCAACGCGCGTAAAATAAATCTGTTGTTTTTGTGACAACGAATTAATCGGTCTAAGTATTACTTTAAATGTTAACACTGCGTGATGGAAAAAGTCATCCTGCCAAATTGAAGTTACCTGTACAAGTGAATGGATAAATGAGAAAAAACGGTTCAAACTTTAGCGGCCAGAAATCACCAGGATAAAAGAGGCGATCTGCGCCCGCTGCCAACATTAAATCATTGTATTAGTATTTTAAAATAAATATTAAATGATGTAAATCGTTAGAATCTAATATTCTTGTTTTTCGTCTTCAGCCGAAACGCGCCGCGCAGCACGCGCCGCGAGGCTGCATGACGTCACCCGAAAACAGCTCTGATAGAGAGCGCATTTTTTGTATCAGTGTGTGTGCTTTTTAAAAACTTAGTTACCATCGGTTTATTGTTTGCTTCCACTTTCCAACAGGTCGCCAGAGGAATACAGATTAAAAGCCAACAAGGACCTGGTGAGTGTTTTCATGAGTCAGAGTGATTTGGTTCTGATGAATCGAACATTCTGAAAGTTCTCTTGTGTGACTGTTGGCCCAGACTGCTGAGGACCTGCACAATGCAGTGGCCACCCCCCC